AATGGTATTTTGTATATGGCTTTTGGTGCACACAGGCACAGACTTCTGCAAAATTGCTGGGTCTTAAAGTTGTTGGTCAATTAATGCTTTTAGATATCCCCCTCTACCCCCGCCAAATATCTCTAGAGGTCCTTGCCAAATGCTTTTTCAAAGTGGTATCTTTGGGGGTTTTGTTTTGTTTTGAGACAAGGTCTTACTATGTAGCACAGGCTGGCATTGAACTCCTGTGTGCTGGGATTGTTTTTTTGTGTTTTTTTTTTTTTCTGAACCAGGATCAAACACTGGACCTTGCACCTTGTGCCAGGCAGGTGCAATACCACTGAGCTACATCATTGGCCCTGTTTTATTTTGATTTTGAGACAGCATCACCTTATGCTGCCTAGGCTGGTCTCAGACTCAAGGGATCTCCCTGCCTCAGTCACTCAAGTAAATGGGACTATGAGTGTGTGCTAATCCTGTTGAGAAGCTCTTTACCTGTGGGACAGACTGGCATCAAACAGGCTGTGTTTGTTTGTTTGTTTGTTTGTTTTTGAGACAGTCTTACTGTGTAGTTGAGACTGCCCTAGAACTCACTATATAGCCCAGGCTGGCCTTGAACTCACTATATAGCTCAGGCTAGCTGGAACTCATGGTGAACCTCCTGCCTCAGCCTCCCAAGTGCTGGGATTATAGGTGTGTGTCACCATGCCCTGCAAACAGCCTGTGTTTGAATCTAAATTCTTTTCACCTGACCTTTGGAGGTGGGGGTATAGCTCAATGGTAGATCATTTGCATGTTCCAGGCCCTGAGTTCAATTGCCAGCACTGAAAACAAAATAAAACAAAAGCGGTGTCCTTTAGCAAAGCATACTGTTTATTTACGAGAAAAGTTCAAAGTCATGTGGCTTTTGTGAAGATTCTGTGGACGTGTGGGTGGAAAGTGCTCCAGAAATGTTAACTATTCATTCCTAACCCTCACTAAGGTCTTCAGAACCTCTCAGGACCTCAGTTTCCCTGTTTATAAAATGCTGGTGAAAATATGGACACATTTTCAAGCCAGGTGTGGTGGTGCACACCTGTAATCCCAGCATTTGGGAGGGTGAGGCAGGAGGCTCACCATGAGTTCCAGCCAGACTGAGCTATGTAGTGAGTTCAAGGCCAGCCTGGACTACATAGTGAGTTCCAGGGCAGTCTCAACTACATAGCGAGATTGTGTCTCAAAGAAAAAAAGAAAGAAGATACAAGAAAATACTGACACACTGCATCAGCACAGTTAAGGATTACCAGGAAATGAATCATGTCTAAAAGTGCCTAATTATTTTACCAAGATGTAATTTATGTATTGTAAAATTTAAAGCCAGACAGGATGGTGCATTCCTTTAATCCCAGCACTTGGGAAGCTGAGGCAGGAGGATTGCTGTGAGTTCGAGGCCAGTCTGGGTGGCATAGTGAGTTCAAGACCAGCCTGAACTACATAGTGAGACTCTGTCTCAAAAAAAAAAAAAAGAAAGAAAAAGAAAAAGAACAAAATTTGCCCCAGGCTGGGGATTTAGCTCAGCGGTTCGGTGGCCTGCCTCACAAGTGCAAGGACCTGAATTCGATCCCTGGTACCAAAAAAAGCCAAAAAATAACCTCGCCCTTTCTTAGTGGGTTCTTAGTATATTCAGTGTTGTGCAACTGCCACAACTATTTCCAGAACTTTTCATTGCTCCAAAAAGTAACTTCATGCCCATTCTTGCACCTCAACCTCTAGGTAGTTGCTAAAATACTTTCCGCTTTTTATCTCTAAAGGTATTAAAGTGCCAAATAGACGGGCTTGGTGGCACATGCCTGTAATCTCATCCAGTGCTCGGGAGGCTGAGGCAGGAGGATCACCACAAGTTCCAGGCCAGCCTGGGGTACATAGTGAGTTCAAGGGCAGCCTGCACTAGGTAGTGAGATTCTGTCTCAGAAAGAAAGAAAGGAAGGAAGAAATAAGCCAAACAGTTGCTTTTCTGAAGTTTTCCTTTGGTACTGGGGATTGAAACCAGGGCCTTCACGCTGATCTATATCCCCAGCTCTTTTTCAAAATGTTTTCTTTTGAGATGGGGTGTTGCAAAATTGCTAAATTGCCCAGGTTAGTTTCAAACTTGAGATCCTTCTGCCTAAGCCTCCAGGCATGCAATACTATACCTGGCTCTTTTCAAAGGTTTATAATTCCCTTGTTTTATTTTGTTTCGAGACAGGGGCTCACTAATTGCCCAAGCTGGCCTTGAACTTGCAGTTCTCCTGCTTTAGCCTCCCAAGCAGCTAGGAGTGTGCCACAGAGCCTGGCAGTTTCTAATATTGGCACGACTAAAAATTTAAACACTGCAATATATCAATTCTCATGTCTACAGGGTAGCCCAGAGTCATTGGTCAATTACTGCGTTTAGAACCCTGTCCTGTTAAATACCTTGCCCTGGGACAGACATACTTTTTTCTCTGTGTGACGGATAGATGGGTAGATGGATGGATGGATGGAATGTCTCACAGAGTCATGTAACATAAACTCATTTATTCAGCATATACCCACGTGTGCATTTACATGTGAGGGGGAAATAAGATATGGAGAGAAATGGGATGATTCCCACTTCCAAAGAATTTGCCCCCTAGTGGGAAGGAGAGTCTTGTGCACGGCTCCCTGAGCCCGGAGCAGAGGGAAATGAGACTTGTACCAATAGGAACCAGGGCTGTGGGGACTCAGATGGTAAGCTGGAGACTGGGGATCATGTCAGAGGGGGGCCATCAAAGATGGGCCAGCTTGTGACAAGCAGGGCTGGTTGGGGGAGGAGCCCTGAGAACTGGACGGGGAGGCATGGTGTCCAGCGGGACCACTGGGGACAACCAGGTCTTCACACCCCAATCAGGACCTTGTTCTGTACCTCCAGGGACCATGAACAGGGCTTGTTTGTTTGAGAGGCCATAAACACCAGGCAGAGGTTAACAGAGGACAGATGGGGAAGGCAGTGAGAGGTGAGCCAGGCCAGCTTGTATCGAGCCTGCATCGCCTGCTGGGCATGGCCACCCTGTACCCACTGTGTCAGAATTTGTGGACATCTCACGTTTTGTCTACGTCAGTGCTTTTGTTTTGTATTGAGAATTGGACCCAGGGCCTTTGCAGTGAGCTACATCCTCAGCTCTTTTATTTTTTATGTTTTTATTTTGAGACAGAGTCTCCTTAAATCCCTAAATTTCCCAGGCTGCGATCCTCTTGCCTCAGCCTCCCAGAGTACTAGGATTACAGATGTGCGCCACCGCTGCACCCGACTTCAGTGTTGTTTTGCCCGGAATTTCATAGGCAGGGCTGTCTTTTTAGCCCTGGGGCCTCCAGAGATGTACCAGACCCTGAAGAGGGCAGAAGCAAAGTGCAGATGGCTACTAAGGAACAGAGGTGGCTGGGGAAGGAGCGGCACATGGGCTGAAGGAGAGAATACACCTGTGATCCTCCCACCCCATGCAGAAGCAGCTCATGGAAGTCTCTGGAATGGGAGGGGAGTGGGCTGAGATTCCTCCTGGGGGCAGGAGGCTGGAGGAGCAAGCTGTAGGGGACACTGAGGCAGAGACTTTGAACCAAGGGTGGTTAAAATTGCAGGGTCTAAGAAGCTCTCCATTTGCGGGGTGAGGGGATCCTCAGGAAGAAGGAGATTTGCCTTAGTCCAGGGTTAGTGTCAGAGAAAGGATCATTTGGGTTCTCTGCTTGACCCAGGGCACCTGTCCTGTCCCACAGTGGCCCACTAGCTCCTCTAGCATCCACCTCTTTCTCCAGGGGTCCCCAAGTTCTTCAGTGTCTGGTGTGGGGATTCAGAGACCCTAGAACACAGTCCTGCCTCAAGGGGCCGGTAAAGCGGAGGAGAAGCCAGTCAGGCACCAAGGGGAAAGCTGTCAGTCTCTGTCAAGATCCCAGAAGGGCTACTTGGGGGAGGCCAATGTGGGAGAGCCCTAGAGGCCCCCCGCAGATGGGGGCAGGGATGGGAGGGAGAACATACTCCCACAAAGAGCAGCAGGGAGCCAGCGAGGGAGGGGTGACCAGGGCAGAGACAGCAGGAGGGTGCAGAAGGGCTGGCCTGCGACCGACCCTGGCATATGGTGTCACTCCTCAGCTAGTTCCCAGGGTCCCTATGGACAATGCCAGGATCATCCGGGGCTGTGTGATCCTAACGTGGATTCTTAGAAATTGTTGTACATGCCTATAATAATCCCGGCACTCTGGGAGGCTGAGGCAGGAGAGTTGAAAGTTGGAGCCCAGCCTGGGTGACTTATTGACTTAGTGAGACTCTGCCTCAAAAGAAAAACTGTAAAAGGACTGGGGCTGCAGATATAGCTCAGTGCAAAGGCCCTGTGTTCACTCCTCAGTATGATACAAACAACAGTAACAGTCCCGTGGCGGCTTGCAGGATTCACTAGGGCTTTCACAG